TTCATTAATTAACATGTGTTCAGGAGAACAGAAAACAACTCTTAAGATTAGCCTTAGCCAAACATAATTAGGGAAGTGCATTTGCTAAAGCAGAAAGTCCTGATGTAGATAGAACACAATTCGACAAACGTTTGTTGAGAACTTGCTATCTACCACACAGATTTCAAAATTCGGAATTTCAAAGCTAAGTTAGAGTACCTTTTCGAAAGGCATTCTTTTAATATGAATCTCTATACTTTTTTAAAAAAAACCTTACATTTAAAAAAATTGTGAGACTGTTATAACAATAATAAAGACAGTTTAAAAAAGAATAAACATGTTACAGTCCCACCCTAATAAAAGCCCTATTTTCATTTTATAATGTGAGTTTATAAGTCATTTATTTTGAAAATAAAACCCTGAATACTTCTGGTGGCGATTATTGTAGTTGTTTTTTAAAACTCTAGAAGTGAAGCATGAACTCATGGTCTTGAATTTAGAGGCCCCGTATTTGAAGGTATGCATGGCTGTTTGACTTAATGAAGCCAAGCTTTTCTTCGTGGAGCAACAAAATTGACATGGGTCATCTTTTTGGTGTAGATCTGTAGACTGTTGACGTCTGTTTAGGGACTGGGTGTTTAGGAGCCTGTCCTCTCTCTCATCTTTCATATGTTCAGGATTGAAGAGAATGTTTTTATTACAATGCTAGAGGGAAAAGTACAATTTAGGATCCTCACCTGCAGGCTCTAAGACCTTGGAGTGGGTGTAGAAGGTAAGATATGGACACAGTTGAACATCAGTACAAGGCAAATGAGTGACGGGCTACCTCTGTTGGTGGGATTTAGTGAGGACAGAGTATCGCGACCTGGCGTGGCTAGGGAACAGCATCCATGAAGAGGCTGTCCTCAGCAGAGCGTTCCACATGACAGGACATGTCCGAGGGACTCAAGCAGAAAGGATGATGGGCATGGCAACGGATGAAGAACATTCTCAGGATCCGTAGCCAGTCAGTCTAAGGAGAGGCAGGTTGGGTCCAGGGGAGAACAGCTAGAAGTTAACCGGTGACAGTTCCTTTAAAGTTGTAAGAGCTGTTACTGTTAGCTGCTGCTGCCTGTATCGTGGTTTTGAGGCTGGGGATGGAGTTGTTAAAAGAATATTGGTTTAGGCTGATGGACCTCAGAGTTTTGAGGGAAGATGAGTTGGGGTGGGGTGGGTAGAGGCTGGCAGGAAGTCTTTTAGGAGAGGATGTTAGCTCTGTGAAGTAGTTGGCTAGTCTGGGATGGGACAGCAGGAATGGAAGGGATACAAGTGTGTGGAGGGGACTCTGAGGGAAAGATTGCTAGGCTGTGCTGCCCGAGAGGAGGAAGGAAGTCAGGTAGGAACTCGTTTGGGAGATGATGGGAACTCTTCCCATACATGGGAAGTGGGTAAGTCCACACTGATTTGGAGGGCCAGTAAGAAGTTCCATTTCTGGAGTAAGTGTGTCTAACATTTATATAGTCTATTTTCTAAGAGCTTTACTTAACAGCCTTATAAAAATAAGTGCTGTTACTATCCCCACTTTACAGATGAGAAACCGAGGGCAGATTTGAGTAGGAACTTGCCCCAGGGTTGCGCGCTTAGTGGCAGAGCCAAGATCTAGACAGTCCTCACCCAGGAGCCAGGCTCTCACTTGGTATGCGAAAAGGCTTTCCTGCTTTTCTGTGATGGCGTGTATTAAAAACCGTCCAGTCCTGTTTCAATCTCCTTGCTTGTGTTACTTCACTTGATTCTCAGAAGAACTCCATGAGGTGAGGGTATTTTTATCCTCATTTTTTCAAGTGTGGAAATTTGGACACAGAGTGATTTGCCTATGTCACACAGCTAGACTTACCTGCATCGGCCTGGTGTGTCTCAGGAAGTCAAGGATGTTTGTTTGACTGGATTGTAATTATCTGTATTCATCAGATCAGCCCAGGAGAAAATGGAATTGATTGAAATAGATTGCCATATAAATTCTTTAAGAATTACTGGGTCAAATTTGTTACCAATATCTTGCACATTCATCGGGAACTGTTGCTTTTTTAAAAGGGATAAATAATAGAAATAACAGCATCTTCATTTATTCCTGCCTCTGTTTTTACTATTTAGTGCTCTGTACAACTCCGAAAATAATCCTGGCCACTGCATGTCCATAGAATTGCTGCCACATTTAGATGCTGCACCTAGTGGACTCAGAGAGTCTCACTCTCTATCTTTTCTCACGTTGTTGGTGCCTAATAACATGTAATGCTTATAACTGGCCTTACTGGCTTTTGATCTGGGGTATACTTTGCTTGACATAATGGGGCTATAGTTGATGCTACCACATGCAATATTTGTCTAGCTAATAAATAGGAATTGAGACTGGTCATCTGTACACACACCTGCAGGGAACAGTTTCCACCCTCCTTTAAAGCAGCTTCGGTCTGTCCCTATCCACAAGTGCTCTTCTTTCTATCTCACGTGTGAAGGGGTCTCCTGTTTTCCTTACCTTTAAGCCTGGTTTGGCTATAGATCTCTATTTCTGTCTTGTACTGCCTGCCAGAACTATCCAAGGGAGATGTCTGCATTTGCAGCCTGTAACCCTGGAGCAAACGGCACTTCCCACTCAACTGAAATTGTACTTTAGGATTTCCAGTGGTCTCTTTGTAACCAGATCAGGGGTCTTTTATTCATTCCCTGCTATCGTACTGCGGCATCTGCCCTCAGAGCCGCCACCCTCTCTTTGAAGCTTTGTAACGCATTGCCTTCTTTGTCACGTAGCCTCTCCCCTTTCTTCCTGGCGATTCTTTTTCTTAAATCTCTCATGACCCTTTCGTACACCCTCTTGGCTGGAAGAGCTCTGTAAGATCAGTGCTTGGTTAGTTCCTCAGACCCTTTTCTTTAATGATCTGATCTTGTTTTTTTTAACTTCACAAGGCATCACTGGACCACTATCATCTGAATTCCAGGTCATAAGCAACCCACTGCTGAGAAGTCCAATTACTGACCAGGTTATACCTGTGAGCAAATTACACCTTTCTCACATACCCTCCCCTCTGACTGTGCCCCCATCCCTGATCCTCAGCCATCCTGAACTTCTGTGGTTCACTCAGATCAGTCCTCATCTGCAACCTTGCATATATGGTGACAGGGGACGTAAGTCTGATGTGCATGAACCATTCCCCTCACTATCCTGCAGAGGTGACTGAGAGTCTCCAGGGAGTCTCATTATCACACTGCCCCAGCCCACCTCACCTGGGGACCTTGCCTTCTGCCGCCCCGCTAAAGCCCTCCCTGAATCAGCCTTTTTGCTTTTTCGTCCCACTGATGTGTCCTTCCTCTGACAGTCTACTGCATCTTTTCCTCTTTATTCTGAATTCCTTACTGTACATTCTCATTACTTCTGCCTGCAACCAGCACTTTTCACTCGTTTTTTTTTGAATCTCATTGATTCTCTAGGATCTCACTGTGCATGTCATTTCTCTGCGGAAAAACCCAGAGTGAGTCTACAGGGTTCCTGAGGTACCTTCCCAGAATTTACACCCAGAATTTCAGGACTCTTGATGGATCTGGTTTCATCCTACATAGTCTTACCTGTCATATGCTCTGCAAGGTACCCTGTTTTTTAGCCAGGCTGGTATCTGTGTAACTCTAGAGGCTCTGTGCTCACTTCACTGCGAGCCCTTTCTTCATGCTGTCCTCTCTCCTCCTCCTCCTTTGCCCTTATGATATGGTTATACTCGGCCCCCCTTTTGCTTTTTCTTCAGCTTGACAGTAAATCAATCTCTCTCTCTCTCTCTCTCTCTCTCTCTCAAAGAGAGAGACTGAGTCTCACTCTGTCACCCAGGCTGGAATGTAGTGGTGCAGTCACAGCTCACTGCAGCCTTGACTTCCTGGGCTCAAGTGATCCTCCCACCTCGGCCTCCCGCCTCAGTCTCCCATGTAGCTGGGACTACAAGTGCTCACTACCACGCCCAGCTAATGTTTTTTCTAGTTTTTGCAGATGGGGGTGGGGGTGGGGTGGGGGTGGGGTCTCACTATGTTGCCCAGGCTGGTCTCGAACTCCTGGGCTCAAGCAGTCTTCCCACCTCAGCCTCCCAAAGTGCTGGGATTACAGGCGTGAGCCATGGCACCTGGCCAGCAGTTTGTTCTTTAAACCCTGAAATGTATGTAAGGACCTTGTGTCACACTTGCATGGTTTTTTCCCAGCAGCCAGCATAGTGCTTTTGTAGATGATAATTAATGAATAGGTATTTGAATATATGGAGGCATGCATTACTGAATGAATTGGGTGTTGTAACATTTTTAGGGTTCAGGTTTCATCTTCAGAGCTTAAAGTTTGCATCTTTACAAACTAAATAAACTAATTTCTTATCTAAGAAACCTATTTAGGCATTAGAGTGATTAGGTTGAAACCTGACATAGGCCAGAAATTATTGGTCTGATCTTTAAAACAGGTATCATTTTCTGTCTTAGTGTTTAGAGATTTGTGAATAGTTTTCCTTTTGATGAACATTGCCATGTAAAGAGAATTATATAGAAATAACTGAATTCACACAGTTGAAAGGAAAAGCTTATTCTATGTCATGGTCATGTATATTCTGCCAAAGAGAGTGACAGGCCAGTAGTTTTTTTTCGGCCCGCATAGTGTGAGATTTTGTTTCTGTTGTTTCTAAGCTGGGTGTCTGCATGTCTATGCTGTGAAGATGGCCCATATTCAGATGAAAACTTGACCCAGTTGTATATGTTGAACTAGAGAAGGCTGTGGCATCCAGCACATCTTGGCTTGGGAACCAAATGTGACCCTCAAGATTAATTGATGGTCGGAGAACATAACTTCAATTTTCTAGATGAACTTAAGTTTTAGACTGAACTCTCTTTTTAGCCATAAATAGCAGGGCAGCTTTGTCCTATTTTTGTTGTAGAGTACACAGAAGATGGGACTCAGTATTGGAAGAAGTGCTTTATTTCGCCAAGGAAGAAGATCATACTCAACACGATTCTATTTTTCTTGGCAGGCTCTTCTCAACCATCTGTGAGTCCAGGGGAAGTGTCTCCACCATCTATCCAACCAGCAAAATCAGAGTTAATAGTCAGCGTGGGCGACGAGATTAGGCTGTTATGCACTGATCCGGGCTTTGTCAAATGGACTTTTGAGATCCTGGATCAAATGAATGAGAATAAGGAGAATGAATGGATCATGCAAAAGGCAGAGGCCACCAACACCGGCAAATACACGTGCACCAACAGACACGGCTTAAGCAGTTCTGTTTACGTGTTTGTTAGAGGTAAGTGCTTGGCTTCCTGTGTTGCTGTGCTTTAGACAATTTAATATCCTGCTCTTAATTTTGGATGACATATGGACAACTGAGCCACAGATAAAATATTTCTGGCTGGGTCTAGAAAGCCTTTACTCTTCTCCCCCATCTTTTGATATGATACACAGTGGTTTTGGGTATGGCCCCAGCTGGAGGACTATAGGACTGTGATACTCTTCCTAACGAGATTACAGTAGGTTTAGCCCATTTGTGCTGGTGCTTTGAGTAAACCCTGAGAATCAATTAGGCCCTTTGGGAAAGCTGCATTTTAATGCCTTGAGATACTAGATACTCCGACTTAGTAAAAACACTTCAGGGAACCAAAGGCCACTCAAGTCCTAACCAGACCGACACTTCAAAAGATGTGGCCCATTCTTAAGGAGTAAATTTCAGAAAAAAATAACTTGGTCGGCTAGATATCCCATGTCTGTCATGGGTTCTTTTGTAGAGTTTTACATAGAAAACATTGTGACCTCTTATAAACAAAAAGAAATATGGTAGTTGGATTTCTATGCTTCATTTCCTATCACAAGTTCAGTGATTTGTCTGTGATTTTAATAGCCTTGTCAAGAGTAGGCATGCTGGACCAGGGTGTATCTTGTACTTGATGTAAAAACGGATCTACTTGGCCGGGCACAGTGGCTCACACCTGTAATCCCAGTATTTTGGGAGGCCAAGGTGAATGGATCACGAGGTCAGGAAACGGAGATCATCCTGGCCGACATGGTAACCCCATTTCTACTAAAATACAAAAAATGAGCTGGGCTTGGTGGTGTGCACCCGTAGTCCCAGCTACTTGGGAGGCTGAGGCAGGGAAATCACTTGAATCCAGAAGGCGGAGGTTGCGGTGAGCTGAGATCGTGCCACTGCACTCCAGCCTGGCAACAGAGCAAGACTGTCTCAAAAAAAAAAAAAAAAAAAAAACAAAACAAAACCAAAACTGATCTACTGACATATCCAAGTGATGGGCAAAGAAATGGAGTCCTGTTTTCTAGGTCTGGGTGTACCTGGACTGGGGCTATCTGTGAAACCGGTGTGAGTGAGAGGCCTTATCCATGGTATTGTGAATGAATAATGGATACATTTATTCTAGATTGGAGATCTTAGATACCTTCTGAGCCCATTTCCTCATGACAGTATTTGGCTAGATGATTCTGTTCTGTCTTCCTTACATAATCATTAGGGAGCCAGGGTGGTACAAATTCTAGCATGCTCCATCAGGAGCTAATAAAGCTGACTCTAAAGCTTGATTATGCCTCTGCTTTATCAGTTGTCCTTTCCTAAGTAGGTAGCTGCAAACAGATATAGACTGGTAAGTCACCACTTCGCCTTGGGGCACAGTTCTATAATTGCTGAGCTAACCCATGTTCTGTTCTTTGACATTCAGGAAGGTATTCTGCAATTTCCAGGTGGCGATGAAGTATCAGGACAACTGAATAAATGAGGAAAACCGTTGAATTGGTTAAATCACTCTTAGCAGGGCTCACAAACTTTCTTTAAAGGGAAAGTTATCTTCTGTAACTTGGAACTATGTGAAAACTTAAGTAATCTATGTTACAGCAATGAAGGAGGTGGGGCATCATTGTAGGAGCTAGACTCAAGTAACCTACAAAGAGTAGATAGAACAATAACTAGCTATAGACTAGGGCCATACATAGTTCAACCATTATGAAGTCATTTATTTGCAGAATAAATTAGTAAGGCTGGGAGATGCATAATATATCTTGGAAAACTTTTTTCAAAATTGGTCAAAGAAAGTTAGAACACAAACCTATTCTAGTGATGTCAAGTTCATGTTTGTGAAACACTTGACTTCCGGGTGGGAAGGACACTTTAAAAACAGATTGTAAATGTAATCTGTGGGCCTAAGCATGTATCTGTATTATCGTTTCACTGTAGAGGGTGGCAGCATATTGTGTATACAGAATGAGATTTGTCTGGCTTCTTTGAGGCCCCAGTCAGCTTGGGCCACTCCCAGGTCAGCTTGGGCCACTCCCAGTTTATGCCCATGTCCTGGCATAAACTAATAGTGTTCACCTTCACTCATAAGTATCCTGGTGGACTGTGGAATTTGCCACAGCCTTCCTAAAACTCACAGCCTCCCTTTGTGCATTTGAAATTATTTGATTTCCAGAAGTTACATTTATGTTTCTTAAGAGGAATATGAATCGAGTGAGGCTCACCTGTCTATGATGGGTACTGGGTGGCCTGCTGAGAGTTTTCTAGATTCTCTTTGGAAGCTGAAAGTCTCTGGAGACGGGAAACCCTGGAAAGGGCCCTGCACCAAGGGGTTATAAGGAGGAAGCCTTTCCTGCTCTCACTAGGAATCACCACTCTAGCTTATTGGCCTATGATCCCTGGAGTTGTAGTCAACATTTCCCAAAGTTTTAAGAACTCAAGTGTTGCTCTCTGTTGACCTGGGTTTGAGTTTCACTCAGCCATTTCCAGGTCATGTCACTTTAGAACGGTTGCTTTTATGACACCTCAGTTTCATCTATGAAATGGCAATAATGATGGCACTGATCACTGAGGGGCATTTTGAAGATTGAATGAGATTAAGTGTAATGGTCCAAGCTTAGTGCATGATATATAGAAAGCATTTAATAAATGTTAATTCTCACTGAATAGTACTAGATGTATAAATGTTGCTTTTGTTTACACAGAAAAAAAAAAAGCAGTCACTTGGACCATTAGTCATGAAAGACAACATATTAGATCATCTTTTAGAAACTGTTTTCAGTGTCTGTCCCCAGCCATGCCAACTACTAAGTTTGGATATGCTTCTACAGATCCTGACAAGCTTTTCCTTGTTGACCGCTCCTTGTATGGGAAAGAAGACAATGACACGCTGGTCCGCTGTCCTCTCACAGACCCAGAAGTGACCAATTACTCCCTCAAGGGGTGCCAGGGGAAGCCTATTCCCAAGGACTTGAGGTTTGTTCCTGACCCCAAGGCTGGCATCACGATCAAAAGTGTGAAACGCGCCTACCATCGGCTCTGTCTGCATTGTTCCGCGGACTGGAAGGGCCAGTCAAAGCTGTCGGAGAAATTCATCCTGAAAGTGAGGCCAGGTACTGGCCCTTTCTTGATCGGCCTCTGGGAGTTGAAAACTCACTCGTCTAAACTCACTTCTCTTCTCGTTGGTCCATCTTAGTGTAGTCAATCAGGGAGCTGGCTCTTCGTAGTTCCCCCAGCTTCAAAAAATGTCATCTGCTTGTGAGTTTATTTCATGGTCCCGACACCATGTGGCGGTTCCATGAATGCCTCTAGTAGAGGTTCTGTCACAGATTGGCACTTAGACTGGACTGACTTAGGTCAGCCCAAAGTTTCATAATTGCATCAAGTATTCCTTCCAAGAGAAACCCTTTGGGAAGCTTGAATTACATTGGTTGAGAAGATTAGCATGTAGATTATTCATTTTTTGATTTGCTGTTGACATCTGAATTGGCTTTCCCTTCCACTGATTAATTGTAATACATTCTTAAACTGTTTGAGATCTGAGAAGGAAAATTCCAGTTGACAGTCGAACTTGTTAGCACTGTGGCATTTTGTATAATATTTCGTTAGCTGGTAGATAATCTAGGTTTTAAATCTCAGATCATCTAATTCAACACCAGTTGACATACAGCCGTTGAGTACAGTTTTTATAAGGCTTTTGAAAAAATATACTTATTGAACTTAAGAAAAGTTTGATTATTTAAAACCTGGGATTTCCAGAAGTAAGCAAGGTAGGATTTGCATGGGAAAGACGCCTGTTTGCTTAAAAGAATATAAGTAGTTGTCCTCATGACACCATCAAGGTTGTCTGAAGTAAAGATTAAAGCAGCTTCCCTGTGCTAGGGCTTCTACTTGGTTTTGAAAAAGCATTTTCCAGAAGCATTATAATCTCACAGTGGGCATTTCTGCCTTTTTCACTCAATATTAATGAATATACTTGAAGGATGCATGATTTAATTGCTGATACCTTCAAATATGCAAGTCGTACAGGTAGGTTACCACCATGCTTTGTATTTTATTTAAAAGATGACGGAAGTAAGCTGTACACATTTGAGGAGAAATGGTAAATCAAAATTTCGTGCTGTAATACGACAAATTATTTGAAGCGCCACATTTCTTTTCATTCTAGCCTTCAAAGCTGTACCTCTTGTGTCTGTGTCCAAAGCAAGCTATCTTCTTAGGGAAGGGGAAGAATTCACAGTGACATGCACAATAAAAGATGTGTCTAGTTCTGTGTACTCATCATGGAAAAAAGAGAACAGTCCGGTGAGTGAATCACTTCATTCTTTTTTCTCAGCATAGTGTTCTGTCTCTGTGGGAGATGATAAGGTTTCTCTTTAAGAAGAGTCTGTCCTGGAGCTGCCTTGGCTGCTGAGTCTGTCAGGGGTGGATTGTCTGGGAACATACTGGGATTGTATATTTCCCCCCTTTCCTACCTCCACGTGGAGATACATGCATTTATTATTAGTAACAAATAAATTTCATTTTATACATTTATTTTGAGAAACTTGAAGAGAGAACTTCAGATTCATGTGATTACTTCATGTTGTTTCTTTGAAAAACTTTGTTAGGGTCTTAAAAAACATGGTTAACTGCATGAACGGTTTGTTTAAAACTATTATTGATACTGTTTAGGCCAGACTATTTAAAATAGAGAAAAGAGTTGCCAGTTTTTTTCCTTCCATTTTTAAAAAGAATAGACAGTCTCAGGTATTCCCCAGAAAGCCCTTCCCTCGCCTACAAATTGGCCTATCCATTTGAAGATGGGTTTCTTTTTGTAAGCATCTGATTTCCTCTTCTGCGGCTGGTTACCTGAGATTAAGTTGCTAATGGTTTTCTATTTGTTTTAGTCACTATTAATAAAATTGTTGTCTTTAATCTGAAACATTTGGGCATGTTTGCATTCTTATTCGTTTAACAAATGCATATTCAATGAATATTACACCTCAGGTATTGGGTTAGGTGTATCTTAAAATTAAATAAATTTTAGCTAGTTATATTTGAAGTTTTCCCTAAATATTCATAGTTTTTACACTCCTGTCTTAATATCCAAATATTTTGCTTTAAATTTCTCATTGATCAAGTTTTCAGTAATTTTTCTTTGAGTAATCTTGGCCATCTATGTTAATTAGCTAGCACAGTGGTTTTTATTCATTACATATGTATGCATTACATTGGAAAAAATAAATACTATATTTTCCTTCTCCTCCTCTTCCCCTTCCTCCTCCTCGTGCCCTATATTCAACATTGGCAATTCTATGCCTGTTTAAAAAATTCTTTGCTAAACAAATAACCATGGTAATTCCCATAATGCAAAGACATTGTGATGATATTCATGTAGACCTGTGATGGATGATATCTTGCTAAATGGAGCTGCCATTGACTGGGAGAATGGATTGTACCGTAGACTTATTCTTTCAAACCAATGACTCAGAGAAACATTTTAGTTTTTGTATCATATAATGTAATAAAAACAATAGTTTATGTATGGATTTTTGGCTAACCTTACAGAATACAATCCCATATTAATTGGCTTTCTATAATCCTTTATTTCACATGAGAGAACAGTTTAGACTGGGTGTGCATTTGAGCCTCTGTATGAGTTGAAAATTGCCCTTTTTGAGATGAGAAATTAAATTGCCCCAGGCAGTTTTGTTCTGAACTATTTTTCCCAGGAGCCCTGCATGCCATTCCCAATTAATCCACTGGTGCTGGTAGATAAGCCTTCAGTGTTAGGAGCTCTTTGGGGAAATCCCAGTGTGCACCTCCAAGGGTTAAGGAAAACCAAATCACGTGCAAACAATATGTAATGTGTGACTTGCAGATGGGGCTCATGGCTGTCTGCCAAGGTTCATCCATGAATCTTTTATTGATGTCTTTTGGCTTAATTTCGAATACTGTTAGCGCTATCAAATTATTCAAAAAAATCCATAATATTTGATTCTGACCCTTTGGAATAGGTTTAACACACAGTGTAATTTAAGGTAAAATGATTTTTTAGTGTTGCAATTGTTTGTTTAAGCGCGAGAGTCTTGAAGTTTGTTCCGTACTGTTAATCTTGGTTAGCTTTCTTAATGCCTCTAAACCCTCATATTTTTACTTGCTTGTAATCAGAATCTCTGTCAGTATCCTAACTTTTGGCCTTTGAGTTTGGACGTTCATGCTGCATCTCTTAAGACCATACTATTCCTTTGGGCCCTCACAAGTTCAGTGTTCCTGTTTGAGCTCTGTTGTGGACTCTTGGGCTCTTGAGAGAACTAGAAGGAAGATATCCTAAATTGAGACTTTGGTGTGTTATCTGTCCGTTGTCACTCTGCCTTTGTAGAGAAGTCTGTGAAACTATGGACTAGGAAAAGCCAGTTTGAAGTGTCAAATGTCACTTCACCTTGGCTTATATCTTCTTGACAATTGATCTTATGCTGTGAAATGGTAGATTTCTGCCAATTATTAGAAGACTGTCTTAGAAGGGGGTAGTAGCAGATCTACAAAGTGTTCCAAACTACAAGGCTTTAAAAGTAGTTTCGTTCCCATATATCCTTTTAGAAACAAAAGCTAAGACTAGTGATGTTCTTGACTTACCTAAGATCTCACAGTTAACAGCAAAACAGGTTTCTGTTCTTTTTAGTTTGCAACATTCAACTTCAGTCAACTTTTGTGTGTGCTTACTTAAAAAAAATTTCTAGAACTATAACAACCTTAAAAAATAGGTACAATCCCACTATCATATAATAACATAAAAAGAAAGGTATAATCCCATTACACGACATTGCTATCATAGACAGCAATGTTGTGTAATAGAAATACATGAACCTTACATGTAATTTTACATTTTCTAGTAGGCACATTACAAAAAATGAAGGTAAAATAGGTTTTAATAACATATTGTATTTGACCCAATGTATCTACAATATTATAATGTAATGAAACATGAAAATTACTAATGAGATGTTTTACATTTTTTTCAATACTAAGTCTTCAAAATCCAGGACATATTTTCTATTCATAGCACAAGCTTACTTTGGACTACCAGATTTCAAATGCTCAGTAGTCCCAAGTGTCTAGTCCTTATAAATGCTATATAGTCTGCATTTTTTCATATTTCTTTTCTCTTTTCCCCTATGCATATGTATTATCACATGATTGCAGTTTTAAGGTACATTCAATTTATGCTTTTTAAGTAGTGTAAATACCTCTCTTACAGTAATAATGCTATACTTGGTATATGTTTAGGTCGTTTCTGAATTTTCACTGAAACCAAGATGTTGGAGCTTTTATTTTCTGTTGAGCAATTTTCTTGAGTTAAATTTGCTGGGGTTGATCAGAGTGTGTGAATATCCTGGCAAGCTCCTCTTCCAGAGGATTTTTCTGATTTATAATACTGTCAGATATTTAACTCTATTAGGTTTACCATAGCCTCTCCAAGGAATCAACCTTGATCTCATTCCACATCAGTATCAGCTCCTTTTACTTTAGTTTTTCCCCCATTGTAATAGGAATGTGTGTACATTACAGAAAATTTGGAAGATGTAGAAAACTATATTCAACTCTCTTTAATCTTTTCATAAAGCTGCTGTAGTTTATGTTACGGTTTTCCCATGACGTTTTAAACATGAGAAATCCCTCCATGTCTTGTCTGCAGACAAATAATGAGATGGTGATATCACAAGGGTAAATTAACAACCTTTTCTTTTCAGCTCATGCTGAAATAATTTGGGCCTTGTTCTTAAATGTCTAGTATACCTTGGAACACCCTTCAGTGGTTCACAAGATTCTGCTGGATGAGAACTACAGGATGAGTTTCCAAGTTGTTGACATTGTGATTCTGTTTTCATTCCTGCAAATAATAAATTTTAATAAAATAGAACATTATTATTAGTAATGTGTTGTCTCTCAGTCATTGGAACATAGAATAGGAAAAGATATAACAGGACATGACATAAATAATGCTGACTCATTTTACAAAATATCAGTATCCCATACTATTTCATATATAGCAACTTTTAAAATTTCGCATTGCACAGAATTTGGAATTATACTAGGGTTAAGAAATGAATTTTCATTTTTTCCCCAATCATTAATAATGACTGTCTTTCAATATAATCCTGTAATATGAAGTGTTCCAATGACAGACTTGTCATGGTGCTTTATTATTCTTACTTAAGTAGTATATAATGAAGGCTAATATGGAGAAGTTAATTGCTGCTATTTTTAATTTATCTAGGAAAGATTCTGAATATAAATTATATGGTAATCTTTATTTTTTTTTTCTCTCCTTTTCTGAAACCAGCAGACTAAACTACAGGAGAAATATAATAGCTGGCATCAGGGTGACTTCAATTATGAACGTCAGGCAACGCTGACTATCAGTTCAGTGAGAGTTAATGATTCTGGAGTGTTCATGTGTTATGCCAGTAATACTTTTGGATCAGCAAATGTCACAACAACCTTGGAAGTAGTAGGTAAATACCTCTATGGGAATGTTTAAATTACTGGCAGTAGTGAAAGAAGAAATTACTAGATAGTTTCCTTTTTATGTAAATGGAATGTTGAACAGATTCTTAGAATTTTGTTATCACTGAATGAATGAATGAAAATTATCATTGTAGCCTCTTGCAACTAAAGCTCAAAACCAAATGCTACCAGTTTTAGTAGAGGAAAGTTGAAAGCTGTTACTAAAATTGTTCAAACCTGTTACTGTCTGTGCACCCCACCCTCCTTTCCCCACCAAGCAAACAAAACATAAGTTGAGATTTTTCGAAAATGCTAGTGCTTGCTGAATTACTTGAGTTTGAAAATTGGTGTAGAATTTCTCAAGGAGAAATGCTTAGAGCCTGAAGTATTTCTCTGAAACTTTTGGTAGAGGTTCTGCCTCTTGGTTTGCTGTTTTGCCACTCATCAGCTCTAGTTCCTTGCAGTAAGGACTGAACTGGACATTTCCTCCCTAGGATGCCCTACCTCCTTATCTCACCTATTCTCTAAGCGTAAAGATGATAGCATCAACCTTCAGGAAGGAGTGCCATTGGGGCACAGGTCATTGGTTCTAAAAGCATAAACTACAACATGATAATCTGTCTTCTAACCCCATCATATCTGGTGTACAATTAGTTTAGCTTTACCTTTTTTCTTTTTTTTTGGACACAGTCTTGCTCTGTCGCACTCCATTGCTGGAGTGCAATGGAGTGGTCTTGGCTCACTGCAGCCTCTGCCTCCTAGGTTCAAGCGATTCTCCTGCCTCAGCCTCCCAAGTAGCTGGGATTGTAAGTGCTCACCACGACACCTAGCTAAATTTGGTATTTTTAGTAAAGACAAGGTTTCACCACGTTGGTCAGGCTGGTGTCCAACTCCTGACCTCATGATCCGCCCGCCGCAGCCTCCCAAAGTGCTGGGATTACAGGCGTGAGCCACTGTGCCCAGGCTTTATCTTCTCTATTCTAGAAATTTCACTAAATATTTGTTTTCCAAGCATATGTTTAAAGAGAGCAGAGCATAGTGAGTTTTTTCATGCTTTTGATTTACTGAGAACAATTATTTTAAAATTACTTTGTTTATACCTTTTTTGTCTTGTGAGTATTGGTTGAATGAAATCCATTTTCCTGTCTTTTTAGTGCAACCATATTCCTAATGTGTGACTTTTCATTAAATATTTCCAGGGTGGCAAAATTTTTTTATCAAGAGCAATGATAAAGTGATGCAGTATTTGTTTTCATATCTCTTTCTTGCCTCATCAAATTTCTTCAGTAATTTATGTAGCAGTATTAAAGCTTTGCGATTATCCCACAATAATCTCATAAAATTTTGGTGTTTCTGCCCATGTTATAATGGGAAGTTTCTCCCCAGACTGAACATGGGAAAGATACTTTACTTGCAATTATAGTCAGCACACAGAAAGTGTACCACTTTGTTCCTAAACATGATTGTGAACCATTTATTAATTTGAATCGAAGGCTATGCTTTTAAAGTATTAAACTCCATAAGCACTAATTGGCTAAGTTGATCAGGGAGCATGTTGATATATCAGCTTCAGCTCCAGAAAGCAATTAGTAAGGATGTTTTGAGAACATTGTTGTATGTAATCGGATTTTTTAAATCCATTCATCAGTTTCCAAGAATTATCACTCTGTGACTGGAAGGACTTGTGGCTGTGAAACCCGAACCTCGTTTTGTATTGTTTTGAGAATGGGCTGGGGTGGAACAGGAACAGGAGGAGACAAAGAGAAGAGTAATTTTCAGTGGCTGGGAGGAGGATTTGGATCCATCACGGTGTGATGGAGAGAACAAGGCTTTGAGATCACGCTTTTTAAAAGAATTTTTTAAATTGTATATTTTTAAGGTACACAACATGATGTTATGGGGTACACACAGATAGTACAAAGATTACTGTAGTGAAGCAAATTAGCGTATTGATCCTCTCACAAAGTTACCCTTTGTTTCTGGTTTTGTGATGAGAGCCGCTAATGTTTTACCTGGTTTTGAATTGGGGTCTTTGCTGCTTAAGTTTCTAATGCACCCCACTTTAACTCTGCCTGCACTTTGTTTTCTGAGAAACACAGCCTCTAACTCCCAAAACTGTGGAAAGGAGAAAAGGCCGTGGGTTTTTATTTTATTTTATTTTATTTTATTTTTTTGAGATGGAATCTTACTTTGTCGTCCAGATTGGAGCACAGTGGTGGGATCTCAGCTCACTGCAACCTCTACCTCCCAGGTTGAAGCAGTTCTCCTGCCTAAGCTTCCCAAGTAGCTGGGATTACAGGCATGTGCCACCATGCCCTTCTAATTTTTCTGTGTTTTTAGAAGAAACAGGGTTTCACCATGTTGGCCAGGTTGGTTTTGAACTCCTGACCTCAAGTGATCCATCCACCTACTTGGCCTCCCAAAGTGCTAGGATTACAGACTTGAACCACTGCACCTGGCCACATCACCAATTTCTTAATACAGAAATAGTGGGAAAAAAATTATACTTCATGTTATAACAACCTAGGTGGAGTTGATTCTTTATGTTACAGCAAGCCGGGTGGAATTCTAAATATTCTTACTCTTCATGAGTTTGAAGTTCTGTTACACTATAGGACATGAAGCTATATTGAGCAAACTAGACTAGAAAGCTCAGGAGCACTTAAGTATTTTGTATATACTTAAGTATTTACAAGTATATACTTAAGACTATATTTACAAGTATATACTTAAGACTATATTTACAAGTATATACTTAAGTATATACTTAAGACTAGAAAGCTCAGGAGCACTTAAGTGTTTTGTAAGCGAAAGAGAAATAATTTCAATGCAAATATTGTTGCCTGAAACCATGGAAATAATTGTTGCCTAAAATAAGTAATAATTTTGCATAATTTACTGCTTTTGAATTGGTGACCTTGAGAACCTGAAAATTCAGTGTAGCATTCAGATGAAAGATTGACTCCCTCAAAATTAACCCAAATTACCTTAAAGAATGACAGAGCCAGGAGTATGTTATTTCCGATTCAGTTATTAGAACAAGGAGGTGATTTCCATCTCTTCCTAGCTTTTGTCTGGATTTTTTATCCTTTTCCCCAAAATACATTTTTTAACTGGTACAGTGGGTAGAGGATGGTTGGGCTACATTTTTTATTCTGACTCTCTAGGAAACTAAAGAGCAGTACAAACTATAATGACAACCACATGTGGAACTTTAAAATGTATTTAACCAGATAGCACCAAAGTTAACGAGTAATTTTAAATTTTATAACTAACTTTAAATTGTAAAGAATAAATAGAAGAATAAAATCAAAACTCTTCCATACTCTCATTAACTTGATGTAATAATTGTAAAGATTTTGGCATATTGCTTATATTTTTATGTCTAACAGAATTTGAATTATACGTACAACTTTATTCGTATTCGCACTTGAAGTATGTAGCAACTCTAGGATTTGCTGTAGTAAAAAGAGGCCAGCTTTGGCTTCTCACAGACTTGTAGACATGTTTAAATCTAGGTTCTTCTAGATGGCTTTTAAGGCTTCGGTTTTTTTCATCTATAAATTAGAGAGTATAAACTCACCTCTCAGTATTGTCATGAGATTAAACGGGCTGGGCATGGTGGCTGAAGCGGGTAGATCTCTTGAGCCCAGGAGTTTGAAACCAGCCTGGGCAACATGGCGAAACCCCATTTCTACAAAATACAAAAATTAGGTGAGCATGGTGGTACATGCCTGAGTTGCAGCTACTTGGGAGGCTGAGGCAGGAGGATCGCTTGAGCCCGGGAGGTCGAGGTCTTAGTGAGCTGTGGTTGTGCCACTGTGCTCCAGCCTGGGCAACAGAACGACACCCTGTTTCAAAAAAACAAAAGATGGAGTGTCACAATTATTAAGTAAAATACATGCTTAACTGCTTAAAGCAGTTCTTAGCACATAGTAAGCATTCCATAAATGGTGGCCGTAAAGATAATGTTAAAGTTACTTTGCTGCTCTCTTTTTCACGATCTTTTTTATGTTATCATATAACCTTTTATAAGGGCTCCTTTAACCAATTCTCTATTTTGCCATTGTAAAAATTATAATAGTGTGTAATGTAAATAGTACTTTTTCTTTGGCCCATAGCTGTCTACTTCATTTTAAGCAGAGTTCTCAAATGGAAATTATAAGATTTAGTCAAGGAATAGATGATTAAAAAAAAATCTGTATTGCTAAATGCTTCCCGAAAGAATTATGCCAATTTACAGCGTGGAATTCAGTGTACTACTTTTTACCACACTTGCAAAATTACTGAGTTTAGTTAAAATTAGTTTTGCTATTTTTAATAAGTGAAAAGTGATGTCTTATTTTAATTACTAGCTTAGCTAAACATTTTTCTTATATTTTATTCTCTTTTTCCTGTTACATTAATTATTTTACTATATAGACATTTAAAAACATTTATGGATTTATGATTTTTTTCCTTCTGTTGCTTCTAAAAAGGCTAGAAAACGGCCCCTTCTGTAGAAGTTTCATGGGAGCCAATTCTGTTATTTAGTTAAAAATGCCATTTTGTTGTTAAAATGCTCTTTGATTTATCTGTGATATATGATAAGAGCTAAGATTATTTTTCTTCAAATACTAAAGGATATTCTTTGAACATTTTTATTCAACATTAGGACTCCTTTTTTTTCCCCCCCTTAATTTATGATACCTTATGTATACAATTAAGTTGGGTCTGGGTATGAACTCACTGCTTATTCCAGATAGTTTTTAACCTAATAAACATCAAGACTAGTAGATTTAGACTTTTACGATGGTAGTAGATCTTTAAGAGAATTGCTTAAGAAACAGAGGTGCGAGAATCAGTATTTCAAATGTGTATCCTTTTTTACTTGTGACAGTGATTCTGCAAGAGCAAAATAAAATGAAAAACGGCTGGGTAAAATTGTCTTACTTATTGCCAATTAATACTGGAAATCGATCATTTATCTTTGTCATTCCAAGATGAAGTTGTGGTTTTTTTTGTCCAGTAGTTGTAGATAACAGTTTCTTTCTGTCCTATTTCATTCTCATTAGATAAAGGATTCATTAATATCTTCCCCATGATAAACACTACAGTATTTGTAAACGATGGAGAAAATGTAGATTTGGTTGTTGAATATGAGGCATTCCCCAAACCTGAACACCAGCAGTGGATCTATATGAACAGAACCTTTACTGATAAATGGGAAGATTATCCCAAGTCTGAGAACGAAAGTAATATCAGGTAAGAAACGGGACCTTGTCCTGGGGGAGGATTACACCTTGCCCCCTTTTCCACTGGGCTTAACCAGATCCTATTTCTGTAACCCGTAAATGCATGAGAAGATACCTGGTAAAGAAGAATGTCTGGGGCTGCCTCGTATGTCTGCATCCTAGTATTCCATTTTGTTATGTTTAGAGCATGCACACTCTTGCACGCATGCACACACGCGCACGCAAACACACACACACCTCTGTGCGCCTCAGTTTTCTCACTTATAAAACGGGAGACAGTTCTTAGAGATCTTAGCTTAGCTCAAAGCAGTGAGTGGCATGTACTCGGGACACAGCAGATCTCTTCAAAGAACGTGGGAAGTTAGTATCTATAATTGTTTTTTAAAGCTCTTAGAAAACTGAGTTAGATGGCTTTGGCTCAAGCAGTGAACCCATGTTCTTTTACATTAGACCTCTCATTTGATCCTCAAAACATTATAGTAAAAATAGTAGCAATAGTAGTATTTTGGGTAAGCCATAAGTGCTTTTCTCGGAGGCATGGTTCTAAGTACTTGACACATATTCACCCACTGACCTGAAGCCTTGCAGACCTTGTGGGCAGGCACTCTTATTTCCCACCCTTTTTGTAGAAGAGGAGACAGAGGTACAGAGGGATGAAATAGTTTGACCAAGACCGAATGGCTAATAAAGGGCTAAGTGCCTTGATAGGGCTTTGCTCTGTTTTTCCAGTCAGGACTATTGACTGTTGGAAAAATACGGGTGAGAGATGATAGCGTCCCGTGCCAAGGACTAAGGGTTGGAGGGAAGAGGATGGATTTGGGAGGTCTCCAGGTGATTGGGAAGGCAGGAGACATAGGGAGGAGCCGAAGATGCCCTTAGGTTGGGTGGTGAGAGGCCATACCATGCAGGGAGTGGAGGAAGAGGAGCAAGTTTCTGAGGAAAGACAGTGGCTTTGGTTTGGGGTTTGTTGGATTGGAGATTGAGTGGGATCTTGAGCGGGATTGTTTGGGTAGGGAGTACCTTAGGTCAAGCACTCTAGAAGCAGAGCCTGAGACAGGGATTCTGAGGCCAGGGACTTAGGCAGGGAGAGAGAAAAGCGCAATCCTTGGAAGAAGCTGCAGGCAAGGATTTGTGGGCATGAAAGTAGCTCTGTAGAGGAGACATGGGACAGAGGAGCCTGCGCTGGAAGTAAAAACGTGAAGGTTGTGAGCCAGCAGCGGGCTGCCCAGGAGTTGCAGAGGGCAAGAGTCTGAACACTGCCTGTGGCGAGTTGGTGGTGTGGCCATGTGGATCGCGTGGGTCGTGGGCTGCCCAGGATGACACATGCACGTCAGAGCCCCTGCCAGTAACCCAGACAGTGTACACAGGTGTATGTAGCGGCCTTGCAGAAAGTCAGAAGCTCGAGAGGCAAAGACTGCCAGGAGCACTGAGGTGAAGTCACTGGGGTGGAGGAAAACCAGGAGATGGGGGTGTTGCAAGAAGGAAGGTGAGCAGCGTGGGTCTCTTGGAGGTTCCCGAAGGGTCTGCGTGAGGGCAGTGAGCATGTGCGTGCAGGGCGGGTGAGTTCAGGACACGATGGAGAGCAGGCTTCAGCAGCACCACCAGCAGGGGAGGAAGTGGTATGGGGACAGCCCCCGGGTGGGGGACGGCATGGGGAGGTAGGGGCCAATGGAGAGGCTGCAGCCTCTGGGAGGTTGCCTTAGTGCTTAACCTTTCCCCACTCTGTGTTTTCACGCAACAGGCATCTGCCCCAGATGGGAATATGTGTGCGCACGTGCATGTATTTGTTCATGTGGATTTTGCTAATACTGAATTAAATTGGTTATATTTTTTCCTCAAACAGGCATAGATTTTCAAGTAGAAACTGGAAAAGACATGTCTTCCAAGGCAGACTATCTACAGGCAATTGATTAATTGTCTTTTCTTTGTAGATATGTAAGTGAACTTCATCTAACCAGATTAAAAGACACCGAAGGAGGCACTTACACATTCCTGGTGTCCAATTCTGATGTCAGTGCTTCCATATCATTTACTGTTTATGTGAACAGTAAGTAACACGACGGGTTTCTTATGTTTTAATTTTTTAATTCTTTTTAAGTCGTGGCTCATGTTTGTAACAACTGCAAGAACTGAACTCGTGTACTGTGTAAATAACGTTTCATGATAACCTTGACCTTTACAGACCTTGTGGTTTGGTGGTTAGAGTGTGTCAAGCCAGTTCCTTGTCCTACATTTCATTGACCACATGACCTTGTAGAAATTGTTCAAATTCTGTGTGCTGTTTGAAGTAAACAGAGGAGCCGTAGGAGTTGAAAATAACAGTTGTTTGAGGGAAAATGTATTGTTGGTGATTGCTGGAATGGGGAGCTAGTGGTTGAACAGGAGCTGAGTTGCTGCGTTAGGTAGGAAAGAGAAGCTGTCAAGCCCTGACGTGATGTCTCTGTTACAGTGCCATCTCCTCTGAGGCTGTGATATTATTTGTGTTGAGATTGTTCTTCCACTGAGATGAATGCAATATTGACAGGTCCATGGGTCACTACAGAGCACCATGTGGCATGTGGGAGAAGGTAGCAGATGGTTTAGGATGGGAGATAGCCATGGCCGTGGGCACCTGAGCACCCGAATCCTGAACTACTGGGGTCCCACTTTTAGAGCCCATCACTTCTTAGAGAAATGCCTGCTCCAAAGTTGAGGCCAAGGGAACCCGATCATAAGCTGTAGCTTTTGACAAGTGCAGGGCCTCTTCCTGGCACCACTGTGGGCCCCATGTGCATTGCCAAGGAAGGTGCCTGCCACACCCTAACTGCTAGGGCAAGGGAGGCCTTCAAAGACGTGGAATTCCAAGGGAGTGGCCCAACAAATGACTGTCGGCATCGGCTTTCCTGGGTGTGTGGAGGATGAGGAGACATCTGGAACATTCATAGCGAAGAGCTTAGGAGATACGCTGGGCACTTGATGTGTGTGTGGGGCTATAGGAGAGTTGTGGGAGCCAACGACTGAGGCCAGTTCCTTGTCTTGAAGGAGCTTACTTTCTGTACGAAGTGATGTTGTTTCGATTTTTTGTTTCTGAGACAGTCTGTCACTGTTGCCGGGCTGGAGTGAAGTGACATGATCTTGGCTCACTGCCACCTCCACCTCCTGGGTTCAAGCGATTCTTCTGCCAAAGCCTCCTGAATAGCTGAGACTATAGGCAAGCCACCACACCCAGCTAATTTTTGTGTTTTTAGTAGAGACAGGGTTTCACTGTGTTGGCCAGGATGGTTTTGAACTCCTGACCACAAGTGATCCACTTGCCTTGACCTCCCAAAGTACTGGGATTACAGGTGTGAGATGCTACACCCAGGTAGATGGGGTTTTTTTTTTTGTTTTTTTTGGTTTGTTTTGTTTTTTTTTTTTTGAGATGGAGTTTCGCTCTTGTTACCCAGGCTGGAGTGCAATGGCGTGATCTCAGCTCACCGCAACCTCCGCCTCCTGGGTTCAGGCAATTCTCCTGCCTCAGCCTCCTGAGTAGCTGGGATTACAGGCACACGCAACCATGCCCAGCTAATTTTTTGTATTTTTAGTAGAGACGGGGTTTCACCATGTTGACCAGGATGGTCTCGATCTCTTGACCTTGTGATCCACCCGCCTCGGCCTCCCAAAGTGCCGGGATTACAGGCTTGAGCCACCGCGCCCGGCCAGGTAGATGTTTTGTTTGTTTGTTTGATTTTGAGAAGAACATGTTTTTATTTTCAAATATGTTGACAAACATGTTGAGCCGAGGTCTGGTGCTGTCACCCAGGCTGGAGTGATCATCCATCACTATATCCTTGTACTCCTGGGCTCAAGAGATTCTTCTGCTTTAGCCTCCCAAGTAGCTGGGAGTACAGGCACGCACCACCACACACAGCTAATTTAAATTTTTTTTTTTTTAGAGATGGGAGTCTTGCTTTGTTGCCTAGGCTGGTCTTGAACTCCTGGACTAAAGCAATCCTTCTGCCTTGTACTCACAAAACGCTGGGATTGCAGGAGTGAGCCACAATGCACAACCTGTATGAAGTGATTTTACGTAATTGTCTCATTTGATGCTATGGCTCAGCAAAGATGGGAGGGTGGGTGGTGTGAAGCATTTATAAATGAAAAGAAATAGCTAGACAGATTTTTTATTGCTAATCTGGAGTCTTGACTATATGAGCATTTCAAAAATTGTGTTTTCTGAGTAAGATATTGATGCAAGTTTAGATGAAGTTCACATTCAGGTAATTAAAACACATGTCTTTATTACTGACCTTCCCAGAATCCTAATATGCTGATGTGACTTTGCCAGAGGGGGCCATGGGTTAGGATGTATAGATCCCAAACTTAGTTGAACACAGAGCTCTCCCTTTTTAAGGGAAACATGTTAATTATTATGAGTTCCTGCAAACAGCTTTGATTACATAGTATTTCACTGGCCCTCAATTAGAGTATCTCTAGATTAATTTCAGTGTGAATCAGAAAATAGTATGTAGAGGTTGGACATAGTGGCTCATGCTGTAATCCCAGCACTTTGGGAAGCTGAAGTAGGTGGATCACCTGAGGTCAGGAGTTCAAGACCATTTGTTTCACCTTGGCCAACATGGTGAAACCTCTTCTCTACTAAAAATACAAAAATTAGCCAGGTGTGGTGGTGGATGACTGTAATCCCAGCTACTTGGGAGGCTGAGGCAGAAGAATCACGTGAACCTAGGAGGCAGAAGTTGCAGTGAGCCAAGATTGCGCCATTTTCTAGCTTGGGCGGCAGAAGGAGACGCCGTTTCAAAAAAAAGTAATAGTATATTACACATGGACAAAATTACTTGCTCCTGAAAAGTTTTAATGTTCATCTCATTTAAGAGATGACTGTAGGTAAATCAGTATCCTTGCAAGCATAATAGGCATATTGTTTATACAGAATTTTATTGTGGCTGCTCTTGTGCGATGCTTCTCAACCTGTCTATGGTAAAAGACTCTTTTCTAAGATTCCCAATTCATTGTGGATCAATACATCTTGTAAAGTATAGTAAAAATCAATTACTAGAAAAGTGAAATGAAAAAGAACAGAGATATACAAAATACAAGCTTGGGTTTTTTTTTTTTTTATTTTTTAGATTCAATAGATAGAAAAATTACTCTCGGTCAAATTGCTCCTCCTCAGCGCTTCTTCTCAGTTTCTGTATTTTACCTCCTGTTCACCAGCAACAGCAGATCGTGGGTGGGGCCCACTCCACAGTTTGAGAGCTCAGCGGCTGGGAATTTTATAAAGCGGGGTGCTTTGTGTTATCGCTGTTTCCCTGGCTTTAAGGCCAAAGGGGCATTTAGATGGGTCTCTCTTCCTTTTTTTTTTTTCATGCTTCCGTTTGCCAGTGTGTGGTCTGCCAGTTGGTCATGAGATACAGACCTCAGGAAGATGTTTCTGACTTTTCTCTGATGGGGGCAAAATTGCTACCATTTTACTTACCAGGCTAATTTGCCATTCCAGCAGGTTCAGTTTTAATCAGTGCTGCTGGTGAACTCATGCTTATTTGAAACTAGATAGGATATGCTGTTAACCTTCCAAAAGGATCTCTTCTTGGATTCCCTGTTGGTAGGAGGCCTCTTCTGTATTTGGGGGTCTGGGTCTCTAATACCCACCCAGTACTTCCTGAGGTCCCGCTCTATCTCACTGGAGATACAGATGGGGATCATGTTGGTCCTGACTTCAAGCTCTTCAGAAAATCTTTTCCTTGATGTCAGTTTGTTACAAATAGCAAACTGACAACGGCGTTTATTTCACTTAACCTGACAAGTTAGATTTCTTGATTGCCAAATGTTTGGACAGAGGTAGTGGCATTTGTGTTTGAGCTTTAAACTGTGTATGAGGTGTGTCCCAGTTGTTCTTTACAGGTATAGTTAGCTGATTTGTTGATTTTTTTTTAATTGAAAAAAATTCCAGTTAACATAATTATGTGGCAATGTTTTAAAAAAATGTTATTTCAATAGTTTTTGGAGAAAAGGTGGGTTTTAGTTAAATAGATCAATTCTTTCATGGTGATTTCTGAGGTTTTGGTGCACCTGTCACTCAAGCGGAGTACACTGTACCCATGTGTAGTCTTTTATCCCTCACCCCCTCCCACCCTTCTTCCAGGTCCCCAGAGTTCATTGTATCATTCTCATGCTTTTGCATCCTCATCGTTTAGCTCATGAGGTAGGATGTTTTTCAGATGAAATTTTAAAAGCTAAAATAATTTTAGAATTTTAAACTTAGAATAGTTGTGGCCTTTTTGACATCAGTTTAGCTGAGCCAGTTACATATGTAGGTGTGTTGTATGGTTTATTTTGTAAATAAGCTCAGCCTCAAGGACAAAAAAGGGATTGTGTTCTGCAAAAATCAGAATTGATAAAAATCAGAATAATGAATGCATGGTGTTTGTTAGTGCAGAAGTTCAGCCTACTTTTACTCTGTGACACTAATGCATAATTGCTTAATAGATTCATCTGCAAGAAATGCTGGTGAAAATCCTTGATTTGGCATGGTTAAATGTTTGGCGGTTGAAAAATCTATTTGTTTTGAAAATTCCAAATGTAAATTTCAGTATATCAAACGTGAGAGATGGGCGTGTTTTAATTGCTTATATGGTAGACTTCTAAAAAACTGTGCTCTGACAATTTGTGTTAAGAAAACGTGTATGATATGCGAAGCTTGAAAAGGTTCTATAATAATGTTTCTAACCTCTCTAATCAAACCATGATTTACATGGGCCTGTTAAACTGACTCAGTGACATTTAAGGTAGTTTATAGTAGCCAAGAGCTATATCATGGTTGCCATCTTTGAGTAGAACTTCTAGTGGAAACTGATAGGAATGTTCATTAAAAAAACAAAGCAAAACCAAAAATTAGTGATGATCTGCATTGAATTTGCATTATTCTAATTACTTTTGGACTTTCTTATCCAAGATGTGTATAGAAATCAAATTCTTAGTTCTGAAATGTTTGCTATCCTGCAGTGAAAATGGTGAGTTGTTTTTCTTGCAGATGAAAATCGGGAAGAAAGTAGAATTTTGAAACCT